CGGGTATTTTTTTTTTTTTTTTTTTGGTTTTTAAAAGAATATATTGGCAATACTGAATTTTGTTTGGATTTCATTTCTAAAATCAGATCCCAGCACAAGGTGATACGTGTTAACTTTTCAGAAGCTTTGTGAAAACAATTTATTAAGACATAAAGAGCTGCTTTAATCCATTAGTAATAATAAATCAGGGCAGCTACAAGTGGCCACACTGGTGATGGACTGCACAATTCTGGAGAGTACCACACACATAGACCATGATGTGAATGGTGTTCCCTAAAGTTGTACAATAAGGCAACTGGGAATGATAATTTCTCATATGTTTACAACACTTGCGGTTTACAAAGGACATTCATGATATTTAAGTTTCACAAAATTACTGCTGTTGTAGTTTCTCATTTTACAGAAAGGAAATGAGGTCTAGAAAGACTATAAGGTAAATGCTGCTTTATGACATTTCCAGGATTTGAACCTTATAAGTCCTATTTAAGCAGTCTTTCCTCTGCCTCAAATGAACCTAAATTGTTTTTTACCTTTAATTCTTTTATATGAACTTTTTTTAACCTATCAGATTCCAAGAGCTGGACGTTAAGATATTGCCCGCCATATAGATGCTGATATCAGACTACTCAGATAAATGCATATCACACACCAGCTAAGAGATGTCACATAAATACAATAAATACACAATCAGAGACATTATTCATTAAACATATGCATGCCTGGATTCAGCTACCACACACTCACCAAGACAAAGCTAGCACTTACTCCATGCATATATGCACACTACAAATTACATATACTCACAAAAACATAAACCTACACATTCATAACCATACCTAGAAGATGCAGTACCCTCATGAGTAAATAGTTTCTAGTACAGCCACATAGATGCACACTCACACACATTGGTAGATTCCATATAAATATACATAGATGCATATACATAAATTTAAACACTTCATGTGAACTTTCTCTTTCTCTCTGGTCACCTCTTCCTTTCCTCCCTCCAATTATGATTACCCAGATACCTTTATTAACTCCTAATTATAACTGCTTAACCACTTTGTGGTCTAAACAAGAAGCTTCATATAGCTGACCTCTGCCACCCAACAGATTCACTGACATGGATACATAGATTCAATAATAGTTAAAATCATACATCCAGACTGAAAGAAATCATGAAGTGTGGCATTTCCAGCCTTCCTGTCTATACACAAAGAGAAGACTATGTGTATTTTCTCATTGACAGAGAGGGAGATGATAAGGCCACCATAGCAGAGAGACTAGATATGTGCAAACACCATATATCAATCTTCCTCCTGGATGGCGTGTCCAAACTGTTCTGTATTAACACAGGCTGGAGACAGGAATCCAAGATCTATTTAGATAACTGGAAGCACACAGCTCAGTGGGTTAGATGCTCCAATCACTAAGACATTCCACAGGATCCCAATCCTCCCATCTTTGGTAGGGACTGACGACACTGAGGAGATTATCCTGCTCACCTGCCATCTTGTGAGAACATATGGCAGACCCGTGAATGGACCTCCTTGGTCTTGGCTCCATAGACAATAGGGTTGACCACAGGTGGTAGCAATAGATAGACATTAGCCATAACCACATGTAGCAGGGAGGTGGGACCACCCAGTCTATGTACCACAGAGAGCACGATGAGGGGTACATAGAAGACCAGGACAGCACAGAGATGAGAGATGCAGGTGTTGAAAGCCTTGAATGCTGCTCCCTCAGAGGATCGAACCAACACAGACCGCAGGATGAGGATGTAAGAGAAACCAGTGAAGAGGGAGTCCACACCCATGACTGAGAGGATAATGAAAAGTCCATAAACTACATTGACTGTGGTGTCAGTACAGGATAGCTTCATAATATCTTGAGGAAGACAGAAGGAGCGTGTGACAGTGTGTGTTCGGCAGTATGACAACCGCTTCAGGATAAAGGGCAGTGGAAAGAAGAATACAAACCCCCTGGTCAGGGCAGCTAGCCCAGTTTTGGCCCCAGTGGGCCCTGTGAGCACAGAAGCATGGCCGAGAGGATGGCAGATGGCCACAAAGTGGTCAAAAGCCATGGCCAACAAGACAGCTGACTCCATAGCTGACAGAGCATGGATAAGGAACATTTGGGCCAGGCAAACATTGAACTCTGTCTACTGGATGCCTATCAGGAACAGGCTAGCCATCTTGTGCATGCTGACAGAGGAAAGGACTAGGTCAATGGTGGAAAGCATGGCCAGGAAGAGGTACATGGGCTCATGCAGTCTCCTTTCCAAGCGGATGATGAGGAAGACAGCCAGGTTTCCCAGGCTGGCCAAAGCATACATAAAACACAGAGGGAAAGCCAGCCAAAAGTGTATGTTAGGTCCCAGGCCAGGGATGCCCACCAGCAGAAAGTAAGCTGGGTGGACCAGAGTTCCATTCGGGGTGGCCATGACAGGGAATAAGAGCTGGGGTTTCTACATCCCAAATCCAGTGTCTATGAAAGGGAAAAGGAGGAACATCACTCAGTCATGATTCAGAGGAGATAGGACTTACAAGGAAAGGGCACTGGAGTAGTGATGATAAAAAACAGGATAGAGTACTTCTAATAATTCTGAATCCCAGCCTCTCTCTGCTCTGAATCTCCTATACACACCTGCCTGGACACCCTGCATTTGCCCCTACCCTCCAAGTGTCCAGTGCTGCTCGACCAGATTTTATCACTGTCCCATCTATCTCAGCACACAAGGACCCACAAGGAGAACCTGTACAACAGCCCTTCATTTTCGAAGCTGATGTTGCTGACCAGGGGCACTGCTCTCAGCCATTTGTGCAACAGAGTAGCTAGGCTGGCACAGAACCTTCCACATTGACTCAGCGTTCTTGGTACATATTGGGGTTGGGGTTGGTTTGGGTCCAGAGGTAGAGGCTCAGTCTGTGGTTGCCTTTAAGACCCACTCGAATCTGATTTAGGACAAAGTTAAAGTAGGGGCTCAGTCTGGGTCTGGATTTCAACAGGCAGGCGTTTGTTTCGACATTAGCAGCATTTCTCAAATTTCCCTGATAAGAAGCATCTGACATAGCTGTTGAAAATACCATCCCCTTGGTCCTAGTCCAGGCCCAAAAAATCAGAATTCCCAAGGGAGGTAGCCTGGAAATCTATTTTAAAAAGTTTATGTCCCTTACCCTCAAGGTGATTTTTCTTTTTTTTTTTTATCATCAGAGAAATTTTGGAAAAGCTGTTCTGGTGTTCTGGGGATAAAGCAAGGGACTACAGTTTTCAGGCCCCAACAAAGAATAAGACAGAATCTGCCCTCAGGGTCTCTCAAGGTCCACATGAGTCAATCCCAGGTTATGCTTGGGTGTGACACAGAAGCCAGATGCAGCCGAGACATGGATACAAAATCAGTCCATGCCACTGCCATAGTACTGGGCATCCAGATATACACATCCTGTCTTCCATCTTCTCTCCCTAGTGATCACACAACACCCAGGCTCACTATCTTTCTCTACACAGACCACTCTGTTCTAAACCTCTTTCCTGAGACCCAGACCCATATAACCTACTGCCTCCTTGACATTTCTACCTGGATAGCCTTTAGGCTGCACACTCATGTTGCCACAAATAGGACTCTTTCTAAACCTGGGCCTCTGCCTCATTCCTGATCTCAGTGAATTTGTACAACCCAGTCACCCAAGTCATCTAAGCCAGGTCAGCTAGTCCTATCTTGATTTCTCTGCTTTTTCACCTCCACATGTGAATTTGATTTTCCAACTAATTTATTATAGACTTTCCTCTCATTCAACACCCCATCCCTTGATCCCAGCCTTATTATATCATCCCCTTTCCTCTGAACTGGCCTCCCTGCCACCAAACCCAGTCTATCCCAATCCACCTTCCACACTGCTGCCATCTACACAGCAAAACTGCACATGTCAGGCTCCTATTTAGAAAGTTACAGGTGACTGCCATAGCCTTCAGGATTAAGTCAGAATTCCATAGCCTGACAGTCAAGGCCCTTCACAGTGTGCCTCCAATTCAACTTTCTAGCTTTCCAGTTTTCTTCATTACCAATCCCCACCACCAACACACATACACATACATCTATTCTTCCCTGGGTAAATTCATTTCCCTTGCCTTGTTTTTTCATCGAAGGGTAGGCAGCTGGAACCAGGGACTGCTGTCCTGGGAGAAGGGATATGCAAAGCTTTAAATGCGCCTCACAGGGGTTTGAAGAAATTCCTCCTTGAGTAGCTGGCTGAGCAAGGTCTGGGACTCGGGCCACTCTAATCTGAGAAAGTGGGAAGGGTGCTCCCTGGAAGACTCAACCTCTCCAGGCAGCCAGGCTGTCTGAGCA